CCCACGGAACCCTCGGCCGCCTGGCCCCGGGGACAGAGAGTCCAGCGCTTGGGTGCCCCCCGGGCCCGGCCCCAAGACCCTGTTCTTCACCCTTCCGGGCATCGGCGAGGAATGGGCCTCAGGCAGCAGCTCGGAGGACGGCGGGGAGGCGTGAGTAGCAAGCAGCACGGGCCAGGCAGGTCCTTCCTCGGTTGGGATCCCTACCCCTCCGCCCGCCACCCCCGACCCCGACCTGGCCAGGGGTCTTTTATAAAACTGCACTATTTGCAGTAACTTCCACTAACTCCCCTGAGCACCTTCCTTGCTCTTTTCCTAGGTCCTTTGTTTCTTGACTTTCTGTCCTTTTCAAACGTAGGCTTTGATACGCATTTGCTCAATTTTCTTGGAGATAATCCTCTGCTGTGTGCAGGGAGGGGCGAGGAAGCAGGCCTTGCAGGGAAGGAGGACAAAACTTTGTTTCTTTTCTAGCTGAAGGCTTGGCTCTTAGATCATTTGATAGTCTGGGTTTCTTAAGGACTTTGAAAGGAGCCTTCCAGTCCCTTTCTCGGATGCAGGACATGCAAGATGTGTAGGGTAACCTGATACCTACGGTGGCAGCTACAATTCTGAGAAACCATGAGGCACCGTGTCTCCATTCCTTTCCAGGATCAGCCCCAATTCTTATCCTAAGTGGGATTTTTTTTTTCTGGGAGACATCCAGTTAATTTACATATGACACAAAAGGCATTTGTAGTACTCAGGACACCTCTAATCATATGCCCTAGAGCTCCTGAGTTCTTGCCACGAGGCCCTGAGGTCCTCTAGCAGCTCTGACTGACATCATGGGAACCGCCTCACTGGGACGTGGGGGACACTTCCCTCAACACACACACTATCCTTTCACCACCAAGAGCAGTGATGAAAACACTCCTCTTGTAAGAGGAGGCTAAACGGGGGGAGCACAAGCAAAGAGGCACAGACCTACGTGTCATAAGAGGATTTCCATTTGTTAGGAGCATCCTATTCGTGAAGTAGCATTAAGAGAAAACTGGGGAGAACCTTGGATACCAGACTCTGTTTAGTAAACACTGTGAAAGCCACTGAGTGTTTTTAGGCAGAGGAGTGGCATGAACTGCACTGAGCGTTAGCAGCATTAAACTAATGCAAAGGAGAGAGTAAACACAGAGAGACAGAAGGCAGGCTCTAGCAATAATCCATCTATGTGCGAGGTACAGCAACCTAGGAACAAAGATGATACAAATAAAGATATTGAAATGAGTAATATCACAAGACCTGGCAACGCATTGGTGAGGCTGAAGGAAGCAAGAGGGAGAGTTGAAGATAATTTCATGTGTCCACCAGGAAAATGTCATTAACACAGTGGGGAACACAGAAGTGGGTCTGTCAGATAGGTGAGGGGTTCACTTTGGGATTCAGGGAGTTAAGGTCTTAGGTAAACATCTGAAGAAGGCTGTCAGGCAGAGAGCTGGACATGCATGAGTGGAACTTGGGAGAGAGAACAGGACTGGAAAAACAAATGGGGCAGCTTCCCATGTAGAGTTGATAGTGAAGACACAGCAATTACAAATTATTTCACACATTACAGTATGACCTACTTTGCAAGATGCATAGTGTTCTTTGTCCTTGTTGCTAGGTAATTTATGATCTCCTGAAATAAGAGGAATCTTCTCTCTGTGCTAGACCAGTGCTTCTCAACATGCGTTAACTATTAGCAGTTACCTATCATCAATCCATAAGTACAGAAAGTAAGAATAAGTGTTTAGAAAAGTTTATAGCAATTGACAGAGTAACTTTATGTCTGTTGATTGATAGCAAAACTTTTAGATTTCACTTTTGTGCATTTTTCCCATTTTATTTTCTAGTAATTTATTTTTTATTGTACATCAAAAATTATATATCCACAATGAATTGAATAAAACCTTTTTAAATGATCAAACGACCCAATAGTTTGAGAAGCACTGAAGCAGACTTTACTTAAATGCCTTTGGACCACAATGAGCAACACATTTCAGGACACCAAGAGAGAAAAAAAAATCCAAATGATCACACTATCATTTTACTCTTTCTAAAATACAAGGCTAAGCAATATTTGAATAGTAGCCTCTGATTAAAGATGAGAGTCTCTGAATTGTTCAAACGGTCTAGAGGTTGACAGGACGCTCCATTCACGGTGTCTTTGGGAGCCACGGCTGTGGGGATGTAACCTGGAGCCAAGATCCGCTGCTCAAAAGGAGGGGCTTTCTCATACCTATTATTGCCTTTTCTTTTTTTTTTTGGAACTTGCACGCCAACAGCTACATCGCATCAGAGCTCTCATAATCCACTACAACCCTTGATGGCAATTTCTCTCATAAAGCATAACTTGCAAACGTAGATCATTTCCAAACAAAAAGGAACTGTTGACAGAAAATTTACGGCCATGACCCGCTCTGTTCTCTTGTGGCCAGTCCGTAGTCTCTTTGGAAGAGTCCCTTACTTATGACTAATGGATGATCGTAGTGTATTTATCCCTTCTGAATCATGTCATGATGAGGGCAGTGAGCCTGCTGCTCCATCAGGATGTTTCCCATATTTTAGGTCTATTTTTCATTTGGAGTTCACATTCTGCCACTGGTAGAAATGAAAACCCCATTGTCTGGGATTGCTCTCATCTTTGTCTTGGACTTGAGCCTCATTCTGGGGGGCTTACATGGGACCAGGACATTCCATGGCAGGCAATGTGTTCTTTGATAACCTCTGTTCTTGCTGAATCAACTGAAATATCCACAGTCTTGTCTGGTCCTTCTTTATAACCCAGGTTTTACCCCCTTACCCACAAAGGCCCTTCAAGTTAGGGGTCTCCCCCCTGACTTTGGTGGTCCTGATGGGAGCCCCAGGGTCACCCTGCTGTTCTCATACCAACATTCTAGATTACAGGACGTTCAGGAGGGTGCCGACCCACCACACCGCCTGTCTTTTCTCTGGGATTCAGCCACCTTCCCTGAGTTCTCCTGAAGGATCAGTGCATTCTGATCCCTTACCTCACAAACCTGTCTTAGGTCAGCCTCCACTTCTCAAGAAAAGGTCTTGGTTTTACTTACTAGTTTCAACATTTTCAGTATGTGTTTCATGGGTTGATGTGAACATTGCTCAAATATGTTTTATTCTACAAAACTGAGGTTCTTCGCATTTGAAATAACAACTAGTGTTTCTATGTCTACCGGGTACCAGATGCTGTGTGCACATTATAGTCATTAGCATGAATCCCCAAAACAAACATACAGGGTAGGAATTTTATTTCCTTTTACATATGAAGAAACTGAGGCTCAGAAAGGATAAGAAATGGTTTAATCCCACGTTGTTAACATGTGGGAAAATGTAAGATTCAAATCCAGGCAATCCATTTTTATCATCCACATATATGTGTAGCCAACTGTTTTAATGAATTCAGATGGTAATAAGGATCTACTTCTAAGGTAATTGGTAGTATTTTTTTTTCCTGGAACAAACTGGCTCTAAGAAATTATACTCTTTCCAATGAAAATAGGTTTGAAAAATAAAAATCATGTTAATAATTAATCTAAAAGTATCTTCCTGAAACTATTCCTATTAATACTGATAAAGAGGCCAAAATTAAAGCTTACGTTTGTCCACTTTGAAGGACAGATAACAAATGGCTTTTATTGTAAATTCATGACTTCTTTAAAGCATGAAGTTTGTCATCTCTCTTCTAGTTTATTATATATGTGTTTCTTATCAATTATGTTGTGTATATTTAATAGTAAATCAAATATTTTATTCATACAAGTAAGGCAGATAATTACCCAGCATTGTCTTACTAGAAAAAAAAAATAGAGAATAAGCGATTAGATATGGCCCTTGCTAGGGAAAAGGGTATACCTACACATGAGCATTTTCTTAATTAGACGTTGCACTTAAGGGTTTTAGAAGTCTTATGATTAAATATTGACAACTGTAATCTTTGCCAGGCACTTGCATTCATGTTTATCTAATGAGTATGTTTCTTTCACATAACATTTAACATTTTGGATCTTTCTTGCTTGTTGATTTCTAACAGAAATGGTATAATTTTGACAATCTAAAAAAATCTAATTATGAGATATTGGTTATTTTTTTAAAGATTCATTAAAGTGGCAATTTTTAAATTAATCAGTAATTTCAGTTCCTTACAAT